TTGGGTGCAATATTAAAGAGAGTTGTAAATGGAATTTGACCGCGCAATGCAGAGGAAGGCATACGATTAATCAAATAGACAGCAGTATAGAAAGCATAAGACAAAAAAATCGCTGGTAAGTTGGCATGATGCAAGAGAGTGATACCCGTTTCCACAAGATGGCGATGTTTACGTTCAGCAAGACCATTATGCTCAGGAGCGTGTGGTGGAGTGAGAAGATGACTAATGCCATGTGTAATCAGTGTGGAGCATAATTTTTGAAATTCACCACCACCATTAGAATAAAGACGACGAATGGTGGTAGAGAAGTAATTCTCAACCATCTTACGAAAGGCAAGAAACACATCAAGAACATCAGATTTACGTTTTAAAGGATAATATCACGTATATCGGGAAAAATGATCAACGATGATTAAATAATACCGAAAACCATCAATGGAGGGTACAGGAGCAGGTCCCCAAACATCCGTATATAGCAAATCAAATGGTCTAGAGCTTGACAAAGAGGAAATAGGAAAAGGGAGTTTATGACTCTTATTTGAAAGACAAGAAGAACAATGACTACTACGATAGAGGATGATACTAGCAAGGAATGTGTGCGAAGGAGACTGGTGAGAGAATGGGTGGAGGGGTGGCCAAGGCGGGCGTGCCATGATGAAGAGCATGTACGTGTGGTGATAAGAGCCAGACGCACTGTGTCCACATCGCACGGCAGCTCATAGACATCCCCACTATTTTCCCCTTTCAGCAGCGGCGCCCCCGTGCGAAGATGCTTCACAACAAAACAATCAGCAAAAAATTCCACCGAAATGGGATTAGTACGACACAGTTTAGCCACAGAGATAAATTTGCGTTTGATGGCAGGAGCACATAACACATCATTCAATTGCAAAGTAGAGTTTTGGAGCGTAGAAGTCCCAATGTGTGTGATTTTCAAACCTGTGCCATCGCCAACAAGAATCTCATCAGGACCATTGTAGTCCGAATAAAGTGATAAGCTGCCTAGATCATGAGTGACATGATGTGACGCAGCAGAATCAAGCAACCAGGGAGCAGATGGAGATGCACGAGTAACAGTGGAGTGATTTGCTTGAGCTAGACGAGCTTGATAGGCCTGGAGGGCCTGGGGAAAAAGCTTAAAACACTGACGTACCGAATGGCCAGGACGCTCACAATATTGACAAACTATAGTGAGCCTGCGCTGGGTATTGGAGAGGGCAGAAAATGACCCAGAATTGGGCTCATGGGCCGGCGGACCAGGGGATCTTTGGAACCGTTCATGGGCCCTTTGAGATGTAGGGGCCTGGGCCCGCGGGGAAGAGGCGGCCCGCGGAAAAGATTCGCGTCGCTGAGATCGGCTGATAGAGGAGGCCTTCAAATCGGATTCGTATTCAATGAGGGAGTCGACCAGGTCCTCGAGAGCTAGACCAGGTCCCCGCGCGCGAATGGCAGCAGGAAAAGCGTCATACTCTTTGCCCAAGCCACGAAAACAGTAAACAATGAGATCAATGTCAGAGACAGGATCTCTAATAAGAGCCAGTTCGGCCGTAGTACTTTTCAAATCATTCACAAAAGCCAAGATATCACGATCTCCCTTGAATGTTTTGGCCAATTTTCTTTTGAGGTAAATAACCCGGGATTGAGCGTTGCTGGCGTAAAGCTTCTCAAGAATCAGCCACGTAGCTCGAGAGGTAGAGGCAGCATAAACAAATGAATAGATGGACTCTGAAATCGAGCAACGCAAGGCGTGGAGGATCAGTTTATCCTGGCGAAACCACAATTGATATGCTGGATTCGGTTTGTCAGCGTCATTTTCTGTGACTGTACGAGCAGGGGCTGTTTCAAGTTGGGAGCGCTAAGAGGCAAAGTTGGTCGGGGTTGGCTTCAATGGAAGCTGAGCGACGGGATTAAAGGTCACAATGGCAGGGACAGTGATGGAAGAGGCGGTGTCATGGACTTCATAGCCGCCAGACATGGTGGCGGAGAAAAAAAACAGAGTGACTGGGGGAGGAAAGGGGAATTTGCTAAGAGAATAATTTTGAGAGAATCAATCGTAATCTCCTTCTCTATTATCAGTTAAGTTTTATACACTATTACAAGAGGTTATGTTGAGAGAAAGAAGGGTAGTGTACAAAGTGAGGAGAATGTACAGGAAGAGAGGACTAAAGAATAGGAACAGAAATAAATAAAAAAATAAAAAAAATGTTATTCTTTTTCTCTAATACATTTTCCCGGTTACGAACAGCGCCGCGTTAGAAATCCCGTCCTATTTCTATCTACCGCAGAGCCGGGTTGCTTCCAAAAAAAATTTGGGGTTGGAATTATTGTTTGCCGGGCCACACAGAAGAATTTTTTTTCCATTCGCTGAAGTTGGAATTAATAATTGGGCTTCCCCGTGGCTTTGGTGGAATACTTGCGTGGATCAAAGGCTATGCAATTGTGCCTATTATTGCCTATCAGTGGTTGTTTAATTTTTGGCTTGGAATTCTTAATTTGGTTGGTGGCCACAAGCAGCTCAGTTCGCTTCGTGGCAATTTCTAGAGTTCATTGGAGTTAGGTCATAGCCTTTGCTCCACACAAGTTTGATTCGAGTTTGTTTGATAGTAAGGAAGGCTGCTATCAGTATGAAAATTGATAAGTTCACTGGGAGAAACAGTTTCAGTTTGTGGCAGATCAAGATGCAAGCACTGTTAAAACAACAGGGTTTATGGGCTCCGTTGTCTGGAAAATCGAAGAAGGAAAGTATAGATGAAGAAGAGTGGAATACTTTGGAGGAGAAAGCTGACTCTGCAATTTTGCTTTGTTTGGCTGATGACATCATCAATGAGGTTGTTGCTGAGAAGACTGTCGCGGGCTTGTGGTTGAAGCTTGAAAGTCTATCAATGACAAAGTCTTTAACCAACAAATTGCATATGAAGCAACGTCCGTTCAGTTTGCGTATGAAGGAAGGTACTCCTCTCAAGAATCATCTAGATCAAGTTAATACTATCTTGTTAGATCTGCGGAATATTGATGTTAAAGTAGATGATGAGGATGCTACCTTAATTTTGTTAGTATCTTTGCCACAGTCATATGAGAATTTGCTGGATTCTTTTATTGTTGGGAAAGATAGTTTGTCTTTGGAAGATGTCAAATCTGCTCTACATACTAGAGAGATTCAGTATAAGGTGTCTGGTTCAGGTTCGGAAAATCAGGCATCTGGGTTGGCTGCTACGAGTAGGATAGAACAATCTAGTAATAGGAAGGCGAATACAAATTCAAATTCTGTTTGTTTGAATGATGATATTTTTCATTACTGTAAGGCGAAAGGGAATTGGAAATTTGATTGTCCTAACCTAAAGAAATGTCATGAGAAGAAGGGAGCATCTGCTGCTGTGGCGGAAGAAACTAACTCTGATTCTGAAGATGGTTTAGCCTTAGCAGTGAATGAACAGGTACATCATCAGGATGTGTGGTATTTAGATACTACAGATGATTATCATATGTGTCCAAACAGGGAGTGTTTTTCAACTTACGAGCAGATAGATGAAGTACATGTTTCTATGGCCAATTGTGCTATCTGTAAGCTTGTTGGAAGAGGCTCCGTCAAGATAAGAACACATAATAGTTTTGTTCACAACTTAAACAATGTTAGGCATATTCCAGAGATGACTAAGAATTTGATATCTTTGAGTCTACTCGACGACAAGGATATCAGTTTGAAAGGTGATGGTGGAGTGTTGTCTGTCTACAAAGGTTCTAAGGTGATTCTGAAAGGTGTCAGTAAAGGTTGGTGCCTTGTATAGTCTACAAGGTTCTGTTTTGACATTATCTGTTGGTGATAAGTGAACCAAGCTGGTTTTGAATGGCAAGTCTCAGCATGGGTTGGACTGGACTTGCCAAATGATTTGGTTTGTTAACCGCCCTTAGGGGCATTTGGAGGCAGGGGTGATTCTGGTATAGCTGATTTGGAGGAGTTGGGTACATCTAGCAACTTTGGTTGCGTCTGGTACATTTGGTATTGGACAGAGAATTCAAGTCAAGGTGGAGATTGTTAGGATATGAATTGAATTTGTTTTGGGTTTGTTTTGTGTTTTGGGCCTATTTTGTTTGGGTTTGTGTTTGTCCTTTGTTTTGACGTTTTCCTTGTACGTTTGGGAAAAGGTGTTTGGTTTTCTGTTTGGAATTAGGAGAAGAGTTCTATAAATACTCTTCATCACCCTCATCTTTTGTTAGGTCGTTCAGGCTAGTTTGTTTGGTCTGTTTCGGAATTTGGTTTGTACCATGTACTCTACTTAAATTTGTGTTCGTTTGAGTTGATTTGCATTATCGATTGCATGCTTACAAAAAAATATTATTGGAAATTTATATTTTTTTACTTAAATTTTTATATTGTGACATTTTAGTACCTAAAATTTCAAAAACTTACACATTAATATAGATGAATTTTACAATGCTATATAGCATTAGTGCTATAGGTTTTTGCCTTTATGGTACAACTTGAAATTGTATTTTTCATGTTATGGTACAACTTCATATTGTACCTATACTCTTTTGTACAAATTCTTTATGGTACAACGTGAACTTGTACATTTATGTGACGGTACGACTTTAAGTTGTAAAGTTGTACCATAACATAAGGGTACAAATTCTTTTACGGTACAACCTGAACTTATACATTTAATGTTATGGTACAACTTCAAGTTATACATTAAAACACCAATACTTTATAGCATAGTAGAAGTGCTCATTAATATAATGTTTAGATGTCCATTGAATCTATAATCTAACCGACCAGTCAATTTGATCTGACCAACTTAATTCATTTGCCACTGTATATTCTGGATGAAAACCAAGAGGTACCCATATTTCCCCACAGAATACAAGTACCAAGATGTGTGCAAACTAGATGGCTTAGATGCAAAGAAAAGCAACGCATATATAACGCGAAACAAAAACAAATTGACAGAAAAAATGGGTTTCGTCATCCAAACCTCAAGAGCTTTCTTATAGATGGAAAACCCAAAGCCCCAAAATTTGTTCCTCTTCAGCAAAGAATCATTTTATTCCAGGAGGTAACCCCAAAACCAACCAATTAATCAATTAGCCAGCCTACAGCCCACAACACCATTTTTCATCTCTCTTTGTCAAAACATGAGAGTACTCGTTACTATAAGACCGACCGAAATACGCACCTCTATCAATCCCATCCATCTACATATATAAACATAATTGTATTCACTAGAGATTGATTCAGTAATCGTCATCAACATGGCTAGGCCGGGTGTTACCAAGCGTTCCTACGAGGATTTCGAGCCCTTCTGCAGGTGGGAAAGAAGCCCAGATCAAGACGTCCTCCTCGTCCATCTTCAGGGTAACTCATCTGTAAATCTCCGAATTGAACGACTTGTGTCTCAGAAATATAAGATTGACCCAACCAAACTATATATAATCGTTGATAAACAAAACAGGGTTCAAGAGGCAGCAGCTGAAAATTCAGACGAACAACATGGGAGTGATGACAATAACAGGGGAGCGGTGTCTGGACTGCCAGCACAATCGATGGGCGCGTTTCAGCAAAGAGACACGCCTCCCCACCAACGACATCAAGACCAACGAGATTCACGCCAATCTTTCCGCCGGCATCCTCTCAGTCGTCATGCCCAAGAAGCCGGCGGTACTTCCGCAGCCGCCGCTGTCATCGTCCCCTGACGCTGGCCATGAGCATCACGAGTACCAGCCGGTGACGGGAACAGAGCATCGTTATCATGAGGAACAGAGCACACGAGTTTTCGATGATCAAGAATCCGAAGGTGGGACGCAGAGGGTTGTCGGGAAGGATTTGATGGCGCCGATGAAGTTGAGAGGTGTTTGGCGGGTGACGAATGTTGTAGTTGTGGTTACGGTTGCTGTTGCCGTTGTAGTGGCTGTGGGAGCGGTTTTGGCGGGATACGGATTTCGTCGAAGTAGTTCGTATGCGACGGGCGTATCGGAATTGGGATTTGTGATTGCGGGATGAAAAACAGAACGGCTAAACTTTGAGACATTACGGAGATTGTGCGTCGCCGTCGATATATGGCTAATATTCATGGCCCATGGGGGGAAAAACTTGGTAAAAGATGTTAATATTGTTATGAAATAATTGATTATTGTTGATATTCATTTCATTCTAGGTCGGCCAATGTATTAGAAGTCATTTACCTGTTTCTATATTGATGATGAGAAAGTATTATTTTCAGGGTCCGGATCACCTCAGTAACCATCTCATCAGTAACCATCAGTAACCCTTTCCCCTGGCCCCCACGTGTCAGCTTTTTCTTTTTATTTAAAAAAAATACGGAGGGGCACTAAGGTAAAATTGCACCCCTATTTAATGATGTTTCTGACGCGCTGACGCTGCCCAGATCACATCAGCGCCTTCTCTCTCCTCAAACAACATTTAATTTTCCTTCTCTTAATCTTTAACGGACGATTTCTCACTCGTTTTAAGTCGGAATTTAATTTTTTTTGCACAGTTAGATCAGATTAATTGTGCTATTCAAAATGATATCCACTTTGATATTTTTCAGACATAAAAAAATTTGTCAGTTATTACCAGTCATTACCATATGGTAATGACTGGTATTGACCATACCATATGGTATGAAAAAATTTGGCACATCAATATATATTACGTTACCACCCAATACCATATGGTATAGTGTGGTAATATCAATATATATTTCGTTACCACCCAATACCATATGGTATAGACTAGTAGTAACTGACAAATTTTTTTTGTTCAAAAAAATATCAAAGTGGATATCATTTTGAAGAACACAATTAATCTGATCTAATTGTGCAAAAAAAATTGAATTCCGAGTTAAAACCATGGTCCATGAAACCGTATCGGAGACCGAACCAGGAAAGTCAGCGTAGGGTATTTTATGGTAAAACCGTGGTTTAACCGTAGTTCAACTGTTATACCGGTAAATACCGCCTATCGGTTTAGCCTCCGATACTGGTATTTCTTGGTTGAACAGCCGGTACGGTACGGTTTCATGGACACTGGTTAAAACGAGTGAGAAATCGTCCGTTAAAGATTAAGGAAAGAAAATTAATGATTTTTCCAGGAGAGAGAAGGAGGCACTGATGTGGCAGATTCTTATTGGGTTATGCATGGGTTACTCACCACAAGGTTACTCACCGGATCTGCTCCCGCTAAATTCGGTCCGCCCAATAGAGTGTGAATCCGGTGACTAAGGGGGGGTGCTCAGTCACTTGACTAAGCCCCTCCTACCCATTAGATCTGGACACTTCAATCCAATGGTTAAAAAGTGGGAAGCGCTATTTAATTAATAGCAGGGGTAGTTTGGGTATTATGAAAAATTACGAAGTATACAAACCAGATTTACAATCAGTACAAACCATACAAACATACGAATAGTACAAACTAGAGCGACAAAACATACAAACAGATTTACAAACATTACAAATGTATGAACTGTACAAACAATACAAACTAGACCGACAAACAATACAAACCATACAAAAAGAAAAAACAACCGGGTTGACTTTTGAGGCTCCATCCCTATATAGAGGGGCTCCTTCCCAAAGTCAACCCGGGTGTTTTTTAGGCATACAAACAGTACGAACATGGTGGACAAAAATGACAAACTAGACCGACAATCCATACGAACTGAAAAAACACTCGGGTTGACTTTGGAGGCTCCTTCCCTATATAGAGAAGTTCCATCCAAAAGTCAATCAGGTTGTTTTTTAGACATAAAAAACATTACAAACATGGTGCACAAAAATAACAAAGTTTACAAACATTACAAAATAACAAAGCGTACAAACATTACAAAATATGTCAACAAACATCACAAAGCACTGTCGCCAGAAAATTCTTCTCCGTCGACGATGGTCGCCGGTAAAAAATTTCCGACCAGAAAATCTCTCTCTCTAAACTGTTGGGCGAAGATCAGAGCTAGCCATTCAAGGAAAGTCTGCATTTTTGGTAATCCTCTGCCAAATCAGAGTAAATCAAGCAACGGCTCTTTTCTTCAAACGGCTAGCCAAAGGAGCAGTATATATTCGATCGGCTGTGACTATTTCATTCATCTTTTGTAATCTCGAGTATAGCGGTAAAGGGCTAGGTTGTTGAGAGCAAAAGAAGGTTTTCTCCAGAGGTATAGGTTCTGTGAGAGTGGCTGGGTTTAACAGAGTTTGGATTGAACTCTGTTGGGTTGGTGTTTTGTTCATGCTTTGTACTCGTGTCTATAAATCAGATAATATAGTGTCTCTCGGTAATAGTGTGGACTATTACCGGGACGAGGACGTAGCCATTGTTGGTGAACCTCGTTAAATCGCTGTGTCCCTGCTTCTGACTCTGGCTTTCGTTCTTCACTGCTTCACTCTGCTTTCTTCTCTGTTTCATTTGTTGAAGTTTCAAGGCTGCTAAGTCAAGAGTCTAAGTCCCGAACAGGGCCAGTCTTCATTTAAATCTGTTGGGCCTCGAGTCTTACTCGGCCCAAAAAGTCAGAAATAGAAGAACTGAAACTTGCTCGGGTCAATTATCTTCTTCGCATTTTCATTCCCATTTCTCTCAATTCTCTCCAAATCCCTAACCCTAGAATCGATCAACAAGTGGTATCAGAGCCTTCCTTTGAAGAAGCTCGCTACTGCCGAAGGTAACGATCTATGGGAACGAATTCTCCTGCTGCTTTCGGTCCTGCATCACATCATAACCCACCATGGTTCACAGGCTCAAACTACAATGCCTGGAAGAAGCGTATGAAAACCTTCATGTGGGGAATTGATGTCGATCTGTGGCTAATCGTCAAGGATGGACCAATTGAAATGGATCCTGAGCGACAAAGCGAATGGTCAGATGAGCAGAAGAGGAGCGCGCAGCTCAACTGTCGCGCCATGCACATTCTGCAAACTGCGATCTCACCCCATGAGATCGACAAGGTGGAGCAGTGCGAAACTGCCCAAGAAATCTGGGGTATTCTAGAAGCTACCTACGAAGGTACGTCAAACATCAGGGAAACTCGTATTGACTTATTGATGCATGAATACGAGACCTTTGATATGCTAGCAAATGAAGGAATTCATGATATGTATTCCCGATTTACTGGCTTGATAAACAAATTGAAAGGTCTAGGTCGAGTAATTCCTTCTAAAGACATGGTCAGAAAGCTTCTTCGATCCTTACCAAAGGAATGGCTGCCCAAACGAACAGCTATAGAGGAAGCTCGAAACCTAAATACTATGACTGTGGATGAACTCATCGGATCCCTCCTGAGTCACGAACATGTGATTAAACAGGTGGGAAAGGAAGATGAACGACGCAGAAAGAGTCTGGCTTTCAAAAGCAAAGTTTATGAGTATGATTCAGAAAATGACATCGATGCCGATTTTGAAAAAGAGCTTGCTATGGTCAGTAAAAAATTTCATCGAATGATGAAATATAAAAATGATCAAAAACAACGCTCAGTAGAAAACAGAGGTCGGTTTGAGTCACAAAATCGGTTTCAAAACTCTGGAAATAGATTTTCAGGGTCATCAAGCCGGTATCCTGATGTAAGCAATAGATTGTCTGAGGGAAATTATCGTCAAAATGATCCAGTTAATCGTTCTGGTGATTCAGAGAGGGTAAATGGTCGCTTTAGAAATGTATCTTTTGAGAGATTTGCTACGCAGGGAAGAGATCAACAGACTGGTGTAGCTGATCGTGAACCTCAAGGGTGTTACAAGTGTGGAAAGATGGGGCACGTTAGGGCAAATTGCCCTTTGACATTGAAGGCAAAAGAACGAGCAATGGCAGCCTCTTGGAGCGACTATGAGACTGAGGATGAAAATGAAGGAAATGTTGATGAAGCATACATGGCAAGAATGTCGATCACTGAAAATCAAGACGAACTCAAGGAAACAGAAAGTAAATGGTATCTGGACAGCGGCTGTTCGCATCATATGACAGGTAATGAGGATCTCTTCTCCACTTTAAGTTATGAATTAGGAGGTGAAGTAGTATTTGGTGACAACAGCTCTGGCAGAGTAGTGGGACAAGGAACTATTGGCCTGTCTCCTATGCCAACTGTTAAAGATGTTATGCTTGTAGATGGCCTTAAGCATAACTTGTTGTCCATAAGCCAGTTATGTAGTAGTGGAAACAAAGTGACTTTCGAAACTTCTCATTGTCTTGTTGAACGTGTCCGTGATAACAAAATTATGTTTATAGGTAATCGTATTGGAAATATGTATGTTATTGACTTGCTTGATCTGAAAGCTTTTAATGAATCATGTTTAGTATCCAAGTCTGATTGGAAGCAACCTGGCACAGAAAACTGGGTCATCTTAGTTTAAAAAAACTTGCTGCCTTGTCTAAAGCTAAACTGGTCCGAGGAATTCCTAATCTAAAGGAACGAGGCAATTTCTTTTGTGGAGCTTGTGCTGCTGGAAAACACTCTAGAAAATCATTTAAGACAAAGCCTGATATTGCTACAACCAAACCATTTGAACTTATTCATATGGATTTATTTGGTCCCTGCACTATCACTAGTCTTGGAGGCAAAAACTATGTGTTTGTCCTCGTTGATGATTACTCTAGGTATTGCTGGGTTTATTTTCTTGCTAGTAAAGATGAAACCTTTAAAAAGTTTCATTCTTTTGTCAGAATGTACCCTGAGGTTAAGAATATTAAAAGTGATAATGGAGGAGAATTCATTTCAGAAGAATTCTCTGAGTTTTGTGAATCTTTAGGCATTCTTCATACCTTCTCTGCTCCTAGAACTCCCCAACAGAATGGGGTAGTTGAAAGGAAGAATCGTACTATTATTGAAACTGCTAGAACCATGTTGATTGACTATGATCTTCCTAAGTTCTTTTGGGCAGAAGCTGTTAGTACAGCTTGTTATGTTATTAACAGGGTTCTTGTTAGAAAACATCTAAATAAGACCCCTTATGAAATTTTAAAGCAAAAGACTCCAAATATCTCTTATTTCCATCCTTTTGGATGTCGATGCTTTACTCTTAACACCAAAGATACCCTAGGAAAATTTGATGCTAAGTCAGATGAGTCTATCTTCTTAGGGTACTCTTTGAAAGGGCAAGCTTACAGAATCTATAACAAACGTACTCGTAAAGTCGAAGAATCTGTTCATGTTTTATTTGATAATGCTGATGCTTCTGTTAAGACTTTTGAGACAGAAACACAGGTT